CGCGGCCGCCGGATAAAATGTACGAGAACGAGGGAAAAAGTTTCGGTTACATTCTATCCTCTCGTCTAGTCGAGTCCTAATCTCGTAAACCGACGCATTTCCGAGATATGCAGCCGGGCGTGCTTGCACTTAGAGACGCTCGCAGCAACGTGCTACGAGCTCGGAATAAGAAAAGTTAGCGGGCTCGAGGCTTAGTTCTCTTTCGCTCGCAGCGATGCCTGTGAATAATACGGCAGCAGCATTCGACGGTGGAGCGCTATTCGGTCGCAACAAATGTAAACCACAGCATTACTATTTCAGTTTCGCGCGGACTTTTTAGAAGACGTACGCGTCTTTCCAGCGAACAACGTGTAAATAATTGACGGAGCTGTTGATACCGGGGTATTTCGTGTCTTTCGATGGAAACCGAAAGAAAAGGAGAGAGAGAGAGAGGCATAAAAAGCGCGTAGTATTTTCCAACTGGAAACGAGTACAATCTCGCGCGTATAAATAATCGAAATCGATTACCAAACGGGTTGTTTTCCAAGTGTTTTTGTTCCCAGTTGATCCGTAAAAAAGTCTACTCGCGGAATGGAGTGCCAGGGAAACGTGTTACGCGAACTGTTTAAACACGTTTGCACACGGGTATCACGGGTATCGAGAAAATAACAACGCGCAACCAGTGCGTCGTCGCTGCGTGGACCACGAGCGCGTGTGTGTTTATGTTTTCGTTAAATAATGGAATTAAGCTCTTTTAAAACCTTTTTTCGAGCAGTCTGTTATTTCACGGTACATTCGTTTTACACCCGACCGTTTCCCGTCGGTACGTCGAACGCTCGTTTTCCATCGGTTCAACGCGTTACAATACTACCACCACCACCACCATCACCGCCACCATCACCATCATCATCCTATTACCACATTCGTATAATTTCTCTTCGTAGCCGAACATTACGGAAAAATGTTTCATTTCATCAATGGGACCGCGAATCGTTTTACTGGTTTCGCGCCTAACAAATCCATACACCGTTCCCCCCCCCCTTTGTCCGTTATATTTGCGAAAATGACGGCGGCATCCCGTGTACGCTCCGCTCGAATCGATAATTCCCGATAATCAATTACGCGTAGCAATATCAGAAATTACGGTCGTTGGTTTCCCGGAACGGAAGATGGCTACTTTTCTACATCGTGTTTAACCTTCGCCGCATGGAAAACACGAGCGAGCGTCGTCTACCGCCTGTTTGCTGTAACGGCCGGTCATCCAAGAGTATTAAAAAATTGCATCGTTTGGCCGGTCGTGTGTGTAACGTAGGGGCGGAGCGGGACGCGGGCCGAAACGAGGATTTCCACTCAAATTAACCTGGTAGCGCGCGCAGCTTCGAATCGAATCGGTCGACGCTGGCTGAAAACGGAATGCAAACGAGAGAAAGAGAGGCACAAAGAGAAAAATGTGCCGT